CTGCTAGTATTATTGTATCTGAACTGGCAACACTGCGAAGCAGTGGGTGCATTTCGTGATAGAAGGCGTCCTTGACAGCATCAGAACTGCAGTCAGTGGGTGCATAAGCGATAGCTACATGTCTAGTACTACTTCGTGGATCAACTTGTGTTGATTTCGTCAAATGGGCTGCACACAAACGGATGCTCCCGGAAGTAAAAATAGCAGATGATGACAGCCTTGGAGCTGAGAACGATGTCCACCCCAGCTTGACCAGTGATTGCCGTATCAGCGTCTCCAGATGCGCGCAACCAATAGCAAGAGAACAAACTGGGCGCAGTTAATTCAACAACCCGGTGGTTTCGGACACACAACAAACGTCAATACCCAGAGCGTCCAACGTGCGTGCGAGTGTAACCTGTTGACCTTTTTGTCTTAGAGTGAAAACGTTAAGCGCCGCCAAGGAAACAGGACAGTGTGGCCTTGTATGGGGCCGTCGCCGATAGGCGTCCAGTGGGTGGTGCGGGAAGATAGCTGCATGTGGTTCGACTCCAGTGGCACTTCGGCTGCTGTCAATTAAGCTGAGAGCTATAGAAGAAAGGTTAGTAATGGGGATTGGGAAAGGAGTAAGAGGGACAACTGGAAAAGTAAGAAGGCGTCGGTAGTAACATGATTTCGCTTATCCGCCCTGCTGTATGCAGCAGATAAGGCGAACCTTGATAATCTGCGCGACGGCCGATGCAGTTGAAGTTGGAGGAAGTAGTTATGGTTGTACGTGGGCTGAGATACTGTCAGAGCACCCAGACTTATTCAGGAGGACGATTACGGTCCCTAACCGAAGCATTTGGATCAAAATACCTGTCCACAAAGTAGTAGGGAGGTAGCAATGATTTGGTTTTATAGAAATGGACGACATCCATTTGTAACCTCCAACCTGGAGGACCAGGAGACTGAGTTTGTCTCATCTCTATCCATTGACCGACCTGGTAGGAGTAGCTCTCGAGGGTCCCGGGGTCCCATCCAGTATAGTTCAATGGATCGATGAGGTACACAAACCGCCGCACCAAGTTAAGGTTCAGTCTCGTAGCGACGGAAACGTAAGACAGGCCACGCTGTTGGATGACAGATATCACACCAAGCAGGAATGTGCACTTGGCTGATCGGAAGGATCATTTCGAAGCACTTAAGCGAGCAACACTCAATATCCGAGTGCAAGTAGTTGTTCGGCTGACTGTTCACATAGCCGACGGGTATCTGTGTGGCTTGTAATCCAAAGGTCGCCTGTTCGAGCCTATGTAGATGCAGGCGACAATGCAGTATCCCAGCACGCATGCAGTCGCTGGCTACTGCGTAGCAGCGGATTTCCGGTACGAGGTAGCGATGCACTGCAGATAGCTATATGCCCACTTTCGCTTATAGTCCAATCAAATGCAATGCGGAAGCTGCCAAAGTAAAGCTATCCTTATCCTTTGATAGTTGTACGACTGCGAAGCGCCAGTCTGAAGTACTGATGTTAGTAATGTAAGCCAGACTCTGAAAATGAAGTTGAATATATTGTGTGTCGCTTCGATCGCAGCAAATCCAACTAACGGTTAGGCAGTCGCAACGTTTCACGTTACGCTGTTAAATCGTGTGTCGTTCACCTTTTGCTCACCTTTTGTATACCACCGATTTCATGCTTACCTACAATGATGGCCGAAAAGCGATCACTGTACTTTTACAAACGGAGATCAGTACAAGTGATGCGGCACGGATTAAGCCATTCTAGCTAACACGGATTGAACTGCCTGAAAAAGCAGGAATCGTAGCGCTTGTGTAACTTAGTGTGAGCTCAGACCGAGGTCAGCACGACCCAAGACCAAAATGTGATGTGGTAAAGCAGTGCAGGGAACGCAATCAAACGACACTGTTTCATCCATGTATAGGTCAAACTGTTCTCACTGACCGTACCTAGCCTCATTTAGCTGAACATACTTTGCAGCCACGCGCACCGGCCCCACTTCCAGTCGATTCAACTGCAGAGAAATAGAAAGAAGAACCAGGCGTTTTGAAAAACCACCTTCTATGTCGGTTGATATATGTGCACGAGTTGAATTCAGGACAGCCAATTTTTCCAAGCAATCTGGTTCTACATCAAACATAGCGGCTGTAACACGTCGAAGATTACTGCCACATCTCCATCGTGAGATTCCGTGGGGACGCTTACGCGCTCGCTGTGTGATTCTCCTCCTGTTTAGTATTGACTCCGATCGTGGTACGGATTACTCACGTGTGAATGTACGCTATATGGCTAATTGATTAGGCCGACCGTTAAGTGGCTGGTTAACGCTGCCCAGCTCTCACTCAGAAGCGGCTTGTTTAACCTATTGGACAATTCGGGTCCAGAAGTGCAATACGCAAGTGTTTGGAAGTGAGCCTGGTTGCCAGATGAATTATAGTAGACACGACGCACTGGTTGTCTTCCAGTTGATTCCTTGGAGTCTATCTGCGCTAACTCATGGCTGACTCCCGTGGTATCCATTTGACCACAAGGCAATTCCTCCACCCATATAACTTGAATGACATCAAACAGTGAGATAAAATCAACTCGCAACCGTTACACTGCCACGGTTTAAAAATAATTGAGAACATTACTACCGCGTCCACCACGTATGATTCAGTAAGCACATGTTGTTCGTTAAGATGTGTACTTTTCTTGGGTTCACTGATGCTTGGAGTCCAATGACTACGGTGGTTTGTCAAATCACGTTGCATAGTTATCGGCCTGCAGAATTCGGTTGCGTTAATCAACTCAGAGTTAACTCTAGTTATCCTTACTTGCTTGGGAGTTATCATCTGCGAACCGATCAGGTTCAAGCACTCGACTTTGTGAAGAGAGATGAGCTCCGATTGGATTCTAACCGACGAGAGCTTGTTCACTTTGGTCCCAGCTAGACAGGAAGTTGCGGAAACATCGACAGCCGGTTAGCATACGTTAACCATTGTTTTTATCTTCCTTCCATCTAGTCGACTATGACCTGAGTAACGAAGTGCGTAGATCCAGCTGCCATGACAAATATGATCGAGTAGGTAAAAAGAAAAACAAAAAGCAAAAAGACCCAGAATATTAACAAACGAAAAAAGCTGTTAAAATGAGATGTTTTCGAATAAACCGATAGTCGAAAGGCCATATGTAGGGATGCAATTGACTTCGCGGCTGTGTTATGCTTAGTGTTTGTGGCCTAATCCGCAGCACCTATACAGAAAGACAGCATGCACCGGTCAAAACACCCTCATACCTCTTTTGTCGAAGTCACCGCCTGTACACCTTAGGATTTCACGTATGCAGGTGTAGCAAAGACAAATAATGTACGCCGAGGCGGTCAGTTAGTAGATATACTGAGGAGCTGGCGCAGTCAGCAGAAGTAGGATAAAGCTATACACACCGAGTGTGTGGCGTAGGAGAGTTTGTCACTGAGCCCCAACTGGGATGCAGACAGTGTGGTCGCAAGGTGAGCAACTGTGATGACTTGAACAAAAAGACAGCGATGTTCTTAACGTCGCTCTAGTAGGACTGTGTCTAAATGATGAAATGTGTGCTATCGCATAATTGGTGATTAGTTTGGTGTAGCATATCAGCTATGGCCGCGTATGATGAAAAGATTGACAAGACGTCTACTCATTGTAGATCGGTTTCTAAAGCTGAAGGTCAATGCAACTGAGAAAAGCCCCAGGACGTCTGCGTACTTGAATGGGCCGTAGGGAGATTGAACTGCGTCACCCACACACCGCCTATAAAATCGAAACCACTATCGTTTTGAAACCGATCAACGCTAATACAGTCCGTACACTACTGAGCTTAGGGTGGCGGAAGTATTCGTACCAAGTGCACACAGCATCGTGGCTGAGCAGCAGTCCGTTACAAGTTAGGGCTCAATTCTTGATGTCAGTGCTCTTACGGAGACTGTGCTCTCCTGCTCTCCTAGCAACGATTAGCAGCCTCCTAGAATCCGTAATCGTGTTGACGATATCAGATGAATAAAGATCTTGCTGGCGCGTCGCGCGCACACCACACTTGATACATTGTCCTGGAATATGTGTTGAGCGCACATCAATCATTCAAGCAAATCCAGATTAAGAGGGGCGGTGGTTTGGATCTTGGGCTTGTGATCTATGGGCAACCAGTTGGAAGTCGCGTGGGTGTTGGCGCCCTTGCAGTATTCCAGCTAGTATAAAGCCGCTGGTGGTTAGATTGCGGCGAGATGTCGGTACAATGTCCCAGTGCAAGATCGACAAGCCGCGCCATATGCTTACCCATCCCTAATGAAGATATCCCTTCCGATGCCACTACATAATCCACTGGTTGCAGGGTACTGCTGCCCGTTGCTTGAAGTGCAGTGTCGCTGTGACAGCCTAAAATGTGGTTGGGTTAGGCAGCGAGATACAGCGTAGCGACCGTTGGGTTTACATCCGGTAGTTAAGCTTCGTGACCGGGTGATTCGCAGACATCGAGCCTATACGAACTGCTGGCTCACTGATGACGCGCACCCTTGCTGCGCGCACTGCATATCATAGTCCTCAGGTGCTGTCCCACAGGTTCACGAACTCAACGACGACGCCTCAAGACCGGTCTCTAAACAAGCGGGGCCTCCACCCGCGTACAATCAGGCGTTACTCACTGTGGCCAAAGCTTGATACTTGTTAGCAGGCCAGGTACAGATGTTCGAGACAGGTCAGTTCGGAGATAGACGACGCCATGCATCTGTAGACGTGATGCCCTTCAGTAGTATTTAGCAAATGAGTAACATCCGTCAAAGAGCTAAAAACAGTGTGCTACGAAAATATTCGAATTGGTACCTCGACAGAACAGATAGTGAGCTGACGTCGACAACGCACTGAAATGATGCCATCAAGATAACCAGATAGAATATGAACAGGGAAAAGGAGGGGCATATTATGAAGCAATGTAACACTTCTCTTAAAGAACGAGTGCTCGGGAATGGGAGTGAAGTTTCCCGGAAATAAGGTGAGAGCGAACATACCCGATGAACAAATTATTCGAAATGTTATCCAAATGGCCGCGGTACTTAAGCCAGGGACCAGCGGCAGATATGTGATCGGTCGTGCATTTGCCCTTGATTTTGATCAAAACAGGCATATTCTCCAAATCGCGACCATCCCATTTAGGGAATGGGGCAAGCAGCTGTAGACGTTGACTAGACGGATCCACTTTCACTGTCACATTGGAGGCGTCCGCTGGTGGGGGCTGGTATGTATCCAAGCCCGGATCAAATCCTCTCTTCGGAAGAACATCACCTATAATTATGGAAAGATATAAAAATAATTAGAATACCCAGGCGAACCAATAGACGGCGATGTTTTACAATAAATTGATGACAGTGACTCTTATGGTCTGTGGTGCTTGTAGACAACTATACCATTTCCGAGTCAAGTTAATAGAGGAAACAAATTGGTTCGTAAGCATTTTCAGCTTGGTTCATAAGCAATTTTAAGTTGGTGCGTTTAAAACTTTGGCTTAGGTGCACATGCGCACCATCGAGTAGCTTCCTCATTGGTCAGACGCCGTCGGCCAACAGGATGACGTGTGTCATTATAGAGCAGGTGTTCTCAAACTTTTCGGCACGTGCACCCCTTTGTAGTGTAACCCAGCACGATGGATCCCTGAGCTTTTCTTATCCACAGAACTAGGCTTTAATAACATAACATAACACAACATCGCTGTACACCGAATTTGCACAGCTGTTCATTTATGTTGGCAAAAGTGAAGACTGTTGAACTTATATGGAAATGCAACTATATTAATGCCTTGGATAAAATTCGTTCCGACATGCAGCGCGGACTTGTTTGATGCTAGGTGTTATTGAGGAAAGCTATAACCTCGTATCTCGTTACGCCTCAGGTCTTTTTCGGTACTTTGTTTTGTATAGATTTAATGCGAGAATGCAATCTCACACATCTAAGTTGTGGCAAATGGGTGAAGCACGGCGATAGCTGTCTACCATGACAAGATACACATCGTTCGCTTTGCATCAGAAATCACACAGAGACAGTCTGTGAAAAGCTTTTTGAAAGGGAGTCTTAGGTCATCTCCATGCATTTTGTATGCATGACCGCATACGTTTCTCGGTTTTGCTGTCAGCGCATTAGGATAACTAACTATGTAAGATGCTTCCGTAGCTTTTTTACAGTCTGAGACGCGTGAAACATGTACGTCTGGGTGTTCAGTATTTCATCTCGCATGCGCTGTAAGTACTTATTCTATCTTTACAGTCCGTATGAATTTTTCAAAATGCCGCTGCATTTTAATAGGCACCATGTTCCGAAGAACTTTGTAACACAAGTCACCTTGTGGACAATTATTGGACTCCATAAATCCAAAACGAAGATAAATGTTGTTGTATTTCCGTCTCTTACCTACTGGTACAGAGAATCCGGTTGGCACAGGCTTATAGTGCATCACATCAGGTAGTACAGAAACATCGCACGTCTCAGTTGCTGCATGATCAGAAGGCACATTAGATGGCCCAACTCTTACCACATCTGAATTCAACGAAGAATATTCCTGTGAAACATTTAGCAGTACTCCATTCTTCATTTCATGGTCTCTGTTAAGGTTACACATCTAACTACCACAATGGAGATAAATAATAAAGCACAAGAGTCCAAAACACCAGGAATTTGGTTACTGTGATATGTTGGGCTATGAAAGAAGTAGTGAAGGAAACAGCCACCCTTTTGCAACGTCGCTGATGTAGTTTCCCTCGAATTCGTGGAATCAGATGAGCACATTCATTAAACACAGAAATATCCACGGTTTTCTTCTGAGCTTCCGTGGACGCGATTCCGTAAACGGGCCTCTCCTCCTGGTTTGCTTATTTCGGAGGATAGTAACACTTGAAATGACCGCAAAGTTGGGCCCTATCGTATGGCATACTTCTCGCTGCCCCTCGAGGGACATAGCCTGGGTTATGTGAGCTTGTGCGGATGTAGAATGACCCATCCAGCCACTGCCCATGGCATCACGGTGAAATTAACACATGACCTTTCTGAACTTGGAAAGCCTCGTTCGCTCACATTTTAACTCCCTGCCAAAACAACTTTCTTCCTTGGAAGGGGTATGTTTCCATGGACAATGCACGTGGCTATAATGTAAATTGTTAGACTTGATTTTAAAAAGTTTCACAGCACGTTTGTCATAAATTCGTGAAATAGACTGATCGCGTCTATAAAATTTCCCAATAGAATTATAACACTTTGGGAGATCATGCGGATTCCCTGAAAGTAAACCCACGGACCCCCTGGGTATCTGCGGACTGTTATGTGACACGGACACGATCAAAAAATCACGATGGCGGGCGGGCGGAAAACAGGCGTTTATTCAGTATAGGGTAGCCTATTTAAAAGAAATAAACACTGTTAATCTTCGAGCCTTCTCAGTGGGTCTTCTGTTTTTCGGTTCACCTCATTGGTCGCGTTCCCCTTTTATTTCATTGGGTTATGCTATTCCTCTTCGGTCGCTGTCTT